GCTGGCTGAGGAATTCTGGGAGTTGAAGTCCACACGTCTTAAAGGGGCCAAGGTTGGAGACACCTGACCATCCAAGTTTCAAAGCCTCTTAATTTTATTACAGAACAGCCTCAGAACTGGAGGGAGAATGTAAATCAGTAATAAAGGGAATGTTTTATGTGCAATTCCAAAATCAATCAGCAAATTCAGTTTTAAAGACCACGTAGTAGGGTTCCAAAACATCTCTGAAACCACGTGAAGTGTATCCAAGTTGTGAGAAATCCTAGAGTGCTCTATGAACTTAAGAGTCTGTCAAAAATATGTTCTATTTTCAAAGATTTAACTCGTTTACTATACCATTTCTTTTCCTGGATTACAACTGCAATGTCCTCTGGAGAAAATAAGGCTAATTTCCTCCCTCTGATACAGGTCTTGATCTTCTATGTAAAACAAATTTACATTTTCAAAGATGGAACGAGGACTTCCTTTCGTGTTTTGAACTATTTAGTCATCAGCATACATGGGAGGGTGCACATATTTCATAACTTGTTTTCTGTTAAGATGACAATATTCTGTGTTGAATCTACTCTATCATAGCACATCACCTCTTACTAGATGTTTCTCGAACTTTCTTTGTGGGGCATTTATGGAAAATTTCCGAAAGTGACTCAACTGGCAACACCCTTATGACTCAAAGGAATCCTGCAGTTTAGTTCTATTTGAATTACATTCCTCCTTTATATTCCTTTAGGTGTTGCAATCTAATCATGCTGACCTCTGCAATTTTTAGAGCCATCATTAAAGATCCTCAATAAATCCTTGATTCGCCTAAACTGATTTTCCTAAAAACATCTCCAAAGGTTGTTTTTTTTAATTGCATGGAACTTCCCTGTCCCGCCTGCTCGCCTACTTTTTTTTTTTTGCTCATCCTTTGCACAGCTTCAATATCTGGATTTTTGTTCATTTCACTGCCAATTCCTGAAAGCCACATAAAGGGGTTATAAATTAATTGGCATAGGAAGTAGAGAATGCCACAAAACAGCACAATTGGTTTTTTCATATTTAACACAGGAAAACACAAGGAAAAAAACCCTATCATACTTGAGGGAAGTCCAAGAATCAGGGGAAAAGCAATGAATTCTGAATTTGGATTAAAAACTGATTCAAACTGCACTCTGAAGTAGATGAATCTTGGACAAGCTTTTAAAAATTAGACAAATCCATGGAAGATTAAAGTATCTACGCACTTTTCGGTAGCATCCATCCTGATCACTTCTGCCGACACCAATTTTAGGTGAACTTGCAGCTCTTTATGGAAATAGAATTCTAAACAATATTTGAACCTTTAGTCTGATCCAACAACCCATTATCTTGTAAAAGGTAGATGATGTTCTCTGTAGGTGTGAACTTCAGTTGAGCCAGAAACAGGGCAATTATGTAGGTCACATACAGCAGCCATCCATCTGAAATTCAATCCCAGAATTCAGACACAAGGACTTGGAAATAGAATCAATTTCTAAAGGCAGGGCTTAAAATCTGAGAGTCAAAGGTTCTATTTGTACATTGGCTCAGGACTGACTAAATTATGGTTTGGTAAATTAACCCAACTGCCAGATTCACACAAACCAAAAAGTCATAAAGTAACTTCTGTGTCTAGGTTCCTAAAACTCAATGAACTATGAATTAGTCAAATGATTTTAGCCTAGCATGTTTGGGAAAATCAAGCTAAGCCAGTGATCAATCATAAGGGGAGAACTAGGACTACAGAAAAAGGATGGCAAGACATTCCTGGAAACAATCAGGAAATTGAAATAAATGTCTTTTCAGACTCTTGGAGCTCTGACTAAAGGTAAGGAGCATTCCTATTCAAATGCAAGCAGCTTATTTTTTTAGTATAATTTATTCACTAGATTTCTACTTCTCAGTCTAATGTGCCTTTACCAGGTAATTAATCATGATTTTATATATAAAAGAATATTATGATTCAGTTGAGGGAGAGCTTTTTATATTGGGAAGGAGTGGTTAGGAAGAGATCTCTCCCAACTACTTAGAACAGGGTTTCTCAAACTGTGAGGTAGACTCCCTTGGGCAGATACAAAGTCCAGGGGAGGAATGAATAACTTTTCAGTTCCATTGTTATAATTAATCCACCTTTCCAAAGTTTCATTGTACTGTTTTCATTGTTCATTTCCGTTCATTTTGGTGTTTGGTTTTTAAGGGAGGTATGCACACGTTAAGATCACAAAATTAACAATTTTAATTAACACTTGCCAGAGAATGCTTTATTTTCAGTCAATGCCTCTAGAGTATTCTTTTTTGTTCCTTGGTCATGAATTAAAAAAGAGGTTCAAATGCTTTGCCTCCCTGAAGCTTAAATAATGCTACCACTATTACAAGTTGCTTTTACCATACATCAAATAGTTCTGTTCAACAGTTTAACAATAACAATTAAAAAAACAATGCCAATCTGACTCCAAACATCTGGCTTGTGCAACCAACAAAAATAATGTAACAGCACTGCAGAGAAAATTATTTTTAAAAATGCTACTTCTTTTAACAATGATGGGTGAAAAGTATTTTGTCAACAGGAACAGCTGAGAAAATGTAATTTTCACCGGTCTTGGCTTTAAAAAGCTGCCTATAAATATGTCTAGACTCTTGGGCAGGTAACCCAGAAGATTTGCTAAATCTCGAACACACCAGGGAATCTGTGTTGTATGACTGTTACTGGTCTTTTATTACTTGGATTTTCAATCATTTTTGCTTTTGTTTAATCCCAGGGAAGATGCAGAGGCACCCAAGGCCCGATTAGTCAAGCCTGGCTCTTCCTCTTTGGGCTCCAGAAGTTCACATTCTGGTTCTTCTTCAACAAGATCCACAGAAAACAGTGCCTCCCGCAGCCAGCAAACCCTGTCAACAGAAGCTACTCCACACCTAACACCGACGCAGCACAGCCCCCTTGAAATGAATGGCAGGAAAATTGAGCCAAAGAGAAGTAACTACACCAGTTTGATCAAAACGGAAGTGACCTCTACAATGGTGCCTGCTCAAAGTCGAGCTTTCCAAACCGTTTGATTACTGTTCCATCCAGCTCTATCTATATCCATAAATTACATGCACTGCCAACATTATGCAATTATTTTATTTTCCAATGCAACATTGGTTTTCTATAGTCATGCACATACACACAAAGAACAAAAACCCTCAGTATTTTTTTATCCTTGTTTTTGAGGTACAAGCAGACTTGGGAAAGAGAACTCATGTTGACCTTGTAAAAACAATTATTTCTATTTTTTTAATATTTTAATTTTTGAGATTAAAGCTTGGAAGGAGAAAAGGGAATGCTAACACATCAGGAATAGCATTTTGCAGTTTTGGACCATTTTTTTTAAAAAAAGAATACTGTGGAATAGAGATGTTCCAGTAGAATTCTTAAGGGAAAATGAAATGCATATGTATACAATTGTCTTCTCAATTGTGACCTGTTTTTCACTGCTAATGTTAAGTCTGATCAGCTTCAAGAGAAAATTGACAGGACTTTGCATGTGCCCTTTTCTTGAATTATCAATATTTGGACACATCACCAACAAAGCAAAAAACAGTAACTTTGGGGAAAAGCGAAAAGCAATATTAGATTTTAATTGGTCTTCTTTACTGGAGGGACTTTCTGTGAACATGGAAGTGCATTAATTTAAAAAGGTACGTATGACTGAATACGGCTAAAGAATATAGACATTAGCCCACTGTGACCAAGCTAATGTATTTGTATGTATGTATATATTCATAAATAATAAGCAATTCCACTAAAGGGAATTTATATCCTAATGGATCATTAGAATGTGAGATCAGCATCAAATCCTGAATTCCATTTACAAGTTTTTAAAAATGTTTTTTTTTTAAATACTGTTCTCTATGCTGGACATAGTGACATTCATTTTTAGGATGAGTAGTGCCAAAGGGTTTTTTGGGGGGGAGAATTTTTGGTCAGAATACAATGTCATGATTAGTAAACATTTTGAGGTAATAATCTAGAAAATGTGATCATTTGGATGGATATAGCATACTCAAACTTATAAAACTAACAGCAAAATTTAAAGGAGATATAAAGAATGGAAATGAGCTGGAAATGTAGATTCCAGCACTGGTGTTAAAAATGCTTTCATCTCTCCAAAGTGGAAAGACTCATCTATGGACAGAACTAGTATCACCCAGCTTTAACGATAAGAAAATGCAAGTTGTTTGACTTCAAGTGCCAACTAGATTGCAAAGCTGATGAGTTTTAAACTGATATTATTCCGGGGGGATTATTTCCATCACATTCTTAAACACAGTCAGCAAGAAGGAAATAAAAGTACCACTAGACTCATATATTATAAGAGTAATTTATAAATGGTGACTTAGGATTCAAAAGTAGGATGTGCATGTGCTAATACAAGGCAGTCAGTATTACAGATCTTATAAGGCTGTGACAGAAAGCTATTTTCACAAGAAATAAGAAGCAGGTTTCCAGCTATACAACAGACACACTTAATTTAGAAGTCTCCATAACAAAATTTCTGGAGTATCTTGAAGCACATTCAACTATGATTAAAGTCAGCATTGCATGAATTCCTCAGCCGAGTCTTATATATGCTCACTCAGAAGTTAAGAACCAGACATGGCAGGCTTCCTGTCTGCTTGTTTAGAATGTTAGGATTATTTCATCCCTCTCAACCAAGCTAGTTTATCCCTTCACAGACCTTAAACTGAATATTAAAAAAGCAATTTGGCTTACAACCTATCATCAAGTCCCATAACACAGAACTCAACAGGAAGACAGTAAAATCCAAGGCAGACAAACTATTTCATCACTTTACTTATACCAAAGCCCAGCATAATGCAGGTTATCAAATAATGAATTATCCCAAGCTGTTTCCACCACTTTTTGAATTAAAAAGCTATTTAAATCTTATTTTAAAGTTGATGCTTAGTGAATGAGGTATAGAAATCAAATAGGATGATCTGCTACAAAATAGAGCGGACCTGTCTTAATTCTTGGGGGGCGGGGTATAGACTGTTATTTCTGAAAAAGTGGCTGACACCTTGACAAAATCCCCATTGGAAAGAATGGGGAATCACAAAATTTAGTATATGGAGACATGTTTCTTGAAAGATACATTGGCAATACACACACTATTAGCTTTCAACTTTAATAAACATCCACTGCACAGGAAGTGAAAAATGTTTCCCTAAATTACATGCAAATATATACCAAATCCAAACATGAATTATTCCCAATGCCACCTCAATCATTAGCACAAAAACTATGCTTAAATGTTAGTAAAATGCAACAAAACTCAGACACCCCATTCTATAAATTCATACACACAAAAATGTTTTTAAAAATCCTGAAAGTTCTGCCTTTTAAATCAGCAAAAAGTATGCATGCACCCCATCTGCCAATTAAGCACCTCTCTACCCCATCAGTGTTCTTTATGCTTATTTTTTTAACTCCCTGGTTTGTGTTCATTCTTCTAAAACCACCTACTCCAGCTATCTAAAACCAACTCCCTTAAATTATCCACATTTCATTTACTTTTCTAACCTACTCCCTTCCTCTTGTCACTCAGTTTTGAAAGTTTACCCTGCAGCAGCCTCTGTTTCCGTTTTCTTGATAAACCTGTGGCCATCTACCTATCCAATCTTTTCTTTCCTGAAGCTGTATTTTATCCATGGGGATACAGAAGTACGTTGAAAGAAAATGGAACAGTAGCAGCAAGGCCTACCAAATGCCCAAGTGTTGATTTTGTTGTTTTACAAGTCTTTGAACCATTTTCTACTTCAAAAAAAGCAATCCATGGGAAGCGTGAAGAGGGACCTGTCTTATAGGGGGCACAGTGGCAATCCCTCTAAAACTTGATAATCAAGTTACACATACAGATATTTTGAACCTGTTTATTTCCACCAACCAAACTCTGCAAACAATCTGAATTCTACCACTGAAGAGAATAAACGAGATTATAAATTAAATCTAATGTAAGGGAATGAATTTCTCAGATATTGAGGGAAGAAATTACTGTGCAAGAAAAAAACAGTTAAGTCACATCACTAGGATTTCACTGTAAAAGGGAATATTTAAAGCACAATGGCTTCAAATTCATGACCTTAAATAGTATCTCACAAACTCGAACAGCCAATTGTTATTTGTAAAATATTCTTTAAACATTGTTATCTTGTATGCAATTTACTATGTAGTACTATGTATTACTGTTGTACAAATTCCTCCTTTTGTTTTTATTTTTTGAACTGGTAAACTGAGAACACCTTCTTGTCTGCTGTCATCTATAATTTGTGCTCAGCACAAGCAAAGCAAAAGGGAGTAAATATTTATGTTAAACTATCCTGATTCCACCATTTTGTTTTTAAATAAAGGCTGCCAAACTGCAGTTTGGCTAAACCCAAAGATTAAACTCCTCCGACCATTTTTTTTTTTTAAATTTCACAGCAAGGTGAACACGTTCAACGATATTTAATGTTGATATTAAAATTTAAAGATCAGCATCTTGGATAAATCCAGACAGGGAGCTGTCTGAACAATATTTCTGAATGACCAACTATGGATCTCTGCTTTTTGGGTTGAAAGCCAGTCTTTCATTGCTCATTTGGAGGGGGGGGGAAGCAGGGCCCCCTCCCAATTTGTCCATGTCTCTGCAAATCCTTGGCTCTAAAAAAAAAAAGAGAAAAAAAATCTGCCTTTGCTTCTTGGAATAGGTTGGCCAATCACCTCCTATTCGGATTAAGGAGGAGGAAGAAAATCCTTTCAGGTTCAGGAGAGGCCACGTGGCGCCTGTCAGTTCGGCAGATTTGACTGAAGGAAATCGATTGCGCAGCAGCTCTTTCCATGCAGTCAAGCTCTCGCGGCCTGCATTAAAACGCCTCTAGGGCAAGAGTGTCCCTGAGCATGAGCAGAGCGCCGCCCTCTCCTTGCTTCACAGCTGAGGGGGCTTTGAGAACGCAAGATGCTTTTTCAAGAGGCAACTGGACTTTCTGGGTTAACTCCCCCACATCTCTTCTCCTTTGCTGCCGGGGAATATGGGGAGGGGTGTAGTGCAATATCAGGCGAGCGGGGGTTGGGGGGGGAGGGGAGTTCAAACGGCGTGAACCGGGAAAGAGGCGTCCGCGGCTTCGCTCCAAAAAGGGATTCTTTCGTCGAGCGCGTCCTCGTCTAACCCCGGTCGTGGCCCTTCGCCAACGCCCTGCAGCAACCCCACCTCGCTCGGGCGCCATTTTGTCCCAACGGTTTCTCCTCGGCTTTTTCCTTCAAGGAGACGACTCGGCTGGCCACGCCCACCGCCTTCCCGCGCACCAATTCAACCCGCGCCCTGATTGGCCAAGCGGCCTCTCGGTCGACCCACGCTGCGTTGGAATTGGCTCCTTTTGTCTCTTCGTCGTTTCCCAAGCACGGAACGTTCGGTTCCCTCTTACCACCCGCGCCTTTCCTTTCTCTAAAGGGGGCTCCCCCCCCCCCGCCCAACCGCCCTTCGGGCAAAGTATGCAAATCGTGGAACGCCACTCTGGGAAGCCATTGGCTCCCTCTCAGAACACCAAGGGAAGAGCAAGCCTTCTCTCGTTCCCTTTGTCTCGCCTGTTCATGCAAATAAAAGCGCGCCGTGAGGGAAAGCCATTGGCTCCCGGAGACGTCATCCAGTTCGAGACCCGCCTCGCGCTCTTGGGAGGGATGAACGTTCTAGAAAAAAGGAAAGAGGAAGAAAGAAGGGAGGGGGGAAAAAAAGCCGGCCGGCACCCCTTGACTCATGCGCCTCCCTGACCCCGCCCTCTTCTTCCCCCGGCTTTATTACGTCACGGGCTGCTGCGGCAGCCATTGGCGGGAGGCCGGCCTGCGGGCCTATGGGATTGGCTCGCTGGCCGGAAAGAGGCGTAACTCTTCTGGAAGGTTCTCCAGAGGTATATAAGGTCCGCGGCCGGCCCG